TGGTAGATCATTAGCATCATCATGCTTTTCAATCTTCTTTGTTCGTCGAGTTTGTAAAAGAGGTGAAATATATATATATATATATATATACATATATATATAGACACACACACACATATGTTTTCTAGACTCTTCGAATCCCCCATGGATGAAGATGCTCGAGATTGATCGGAGATTACGATATGGATTTTGTTGGTGTTAGTCGCTATTTGTTTATTGTTCGAGTTCATTTGTATGTTCGGTAAGTAAATTTGCCAGGGTTCGCGCGGCCTCTATCCAAACATCGAGTCCTAACACTACTTCTTAGAAGCTTGTTTGCTTTTTTTCTGTGGGAAGCATTTTTTAAAATTCATTTGTCATTTAAGGTAATTATTGAATTCTACAGAGTTACTGACTCACGCACCCTCATGGTCAAAGTACCTTTTGATGCTTTTGTTAATCAATATGAAGTTTTCTTACATGAGTTTGATGATTCATGATACTGATCATGTGTGGAATGAAGCTATATATATGAATAGGAAAATAAAATAAATTAAAATGGGTTATTCATTGTTTTTTTTTTAAATAAACTTTTACCGACGGATCACAGTAAAGAAAAGAGCCGGTCTCTTATCCGTCCTAATTGGACTATCGGTGATCCGTTGATAATAAATGGCTCGCCATTGATCCACCATTGGTGATATCATTTCCCACGATGTTTTTCCTATCGATAGATCACACACGGATCCGACTTTCAGCGACGGATTACCGGCAGGTTCGCCTATCAGTGTAAGTCTGTTTTTTTTGAAGTATATAATATTTATATACGGCAAATGCAACAAATAAACTCACACACCCTCCTCACCTATGGTGAGGTTTGAACCCCTGACCTCCTAGAAGGCCAAAGGCTACGATACCGCTAGGTTTGGTAAAGTCTTCTTTTTCTTGTAGTGACTTGAGGCACATGATGAGAGTGTCAAGAAATGACATGTCAAAGTGGACGAACTTGTATCAAAGTAAAATGATTCGTGAAGCTAATAACTCCTTTTATTTACTTGTTATGTAACGTTTGGACTCACTAGGGTTGTAAAAGATGGAACCAACACTTGAGGCACTGCTGTTTACTAGTTAGGTAATGTTTGGACTCACTAGGCTTGTAAGCCACTTTTGTTTTTTTCTTTTTTGATTAACCTGGATATCCAACCCGTTATACGAGTCGACTAATCCCAGGGCGACCACTGCTTTGCAGATAGCCTGGAGTCACCGCATTTGAACCTCCGTGACCACAAAAGGGGATTTTTATTTCTTCTTAGATTTAAACCTGAGACCTCCTGGTACTTTTGACCTTTTGGAGTCCAGCTCAAACCAATCAGACACCACCCTTGTGGTTGTAAGCCACTTTTGTTGTTGGTAGGTATCTTAGGTTTTAGTGACAGAGTCACCAGGAAGAGAGGCTTGGTGCTCAATTTAGAGTCACGCAGTGGGGACTATATTTTTGGGGCGCCTCGTGAACCGGAGATAGAAACTTGTGGCATAACACCCGACTTTATGTAGTTCAGCTTTGAATTAGATCAGATTGTTTAACTAATTGCCATTAACTATATATCCTTAATAATATATACTAATAATACTATTATTACTAGTAATAACATTAAATATAATGAAAACATATATATGATTCCCTTTTCTTTTTCTTGGCCCAACATGCAACATGCAATGCATGCATTATGCATACATACATGAAAGTGGATAACCAAGAGAAAGGTACCACCTGCAGCCGGTGCAAGGGGTCGTGGCCTCACCCTTCTCTGCCCACCCCGGTCTCACCAACGTCGGCAGCCGTGGGACTTGTGGGTTGTCCTCTCGCCCCTTGCACCATCTCTCAAACACACACACACAAAAACTGTGCCACGCCTTAGAAGTGTTGGCTATCATTGGATTGGCCGCAGACAACGCCAAAAGTTGTCGCTTTGGCACACCCTTATTTCTGTCCGGTGCGAACCGTGGTTCGGTCAGTCCTACACTTATTCCAACAACTCACGGTCTTCAAAGGCAACGCAATGCTAACAACTTAACTTATAATATATACTTTGGTTTTAGTTTCTATTTTCTGCAAAGGATTTGGTGTTGGTGGAATGAAGAAGTAAATACGTACCAGTTAATAACTTCATTTATTTATTGCAGCTTGATTCCCACATCGTTTGCTGAATGTATTTTAGATCTGAAGCAGTTCCATAAAGAAGCATGTGGAAAACAGTTTGAAAACCCACGCAGCCATGTGATGAGCACAAAGCGAACTATTCTTTCGCCTTTTACTAAAGAATACCGTGTGTTCGTTACTATAAGTGGCATACGCCTATTTTTGGAGAGCTTTTTGTTTTTGGAATGCCTCTAACAATGAAAACCCAATTTAGAAAAACATGAAAACCAAGTCTCATTTATACAAAGATTGCTGTGAAAATGTAATCTCAGTTGACCTCCATCGCACCTTAATAACGGAAGTCTGTTCTTGTGGCTCCTTCCCAAATAATCCAAACCCGATCATTTAATACTCTTTCGTACGTTCCTTTAGTAATGTTTTCGATTTTGTCTTCTAATTCCTTCTCTAAAACACATGATCATTCTCTAAACGTTTCTTATGTAAAAACCAAAGTGCATTTATATAATTAATTATAAACATAAATAATCATATAAAACTAGTAATTAAGATCCCACATGGGTGTTGGAATGAAATGTGCACCCCCAACAAAAGCTATATAACAAGAGTGTTTTACATCTTTTTACTTACTTACCTGGACGGGATCAATGGGTGATCAATGAGGCCTATGGTCTAGGTTGGTGACCTCCATTGCACTTAGGAGGGGTGCCACCCTAAGGTCGGCCCAAGTGGTCGAGCCTACGTCATAATTTGTGCTAGTGGGGGCCTGCGTTCGCGCGGCCTCTATCCAAACATAGACTCCTAATACTACTTCTTAGAAGCTTGTTTGCTTCTTAAGAGCTCTTTACCAAATGCTTACTTGGGTAAGTGAACATCAAGTTATATTATCTTGCAGGATGAATATGGTAAGGACCAAAAATCTTACTCGGTAAGATCGAGATAAGGACCAAGAGTCTTACCTTGTAAGTAAGGATAACGACTCTTACCATGATAAGCGCTTACCAGGTAAATTGTTGTATACGATACCGTTTTGGTGGACTAAAATCTTACCTAGTAAGTAAATGATAGTGTTAAATTTACCGGTAAGCGCTTACCGGGTAAGTGTTTGGCAAACGGCCCCTTATTCTCTTTGGTACTACAATGAAGGTTTTGTTTGCTGCCCTTCAAACCTTTGCACTTCTGGAATGTATGGACCAGATTGTTTTTGGGTCATGTCTTTTTACCATGTACCCAAGGCTTTTGGTGGTTGTCTTGCTAATTTCTTTCGATTTTATTTTTGAATACAACCATTGTTTAGACCCATAATGACCCACTTAAGCTCGTTAATGATATTAATACGTATTATACCCACATAGGCCAAACAACGCATTAACGGGTTTAACGGGACACTAAGGACCACCATGATTCGTTATACCTCCCATTAAGGGATCTACTCATATTGATTATGACCTTTTAGATCCTTCCAATTATATGGTTTACTGAATTGTGAGATCGCCTTTTTGCATTTTGTGAATAAAGCTTAAAAGATGGTGTTTTGTTTTGCTAAATATCAGCTCTTTTAGTAATGCTAGCTGAGGCAGCTTTGTTTTTACAAGAGCTCCCTTAGAAAAATCAGTCCTTTTACTCTATTATAAACCAATTATACCTCATGTTTAAAAGAAAACCGTTGGACTACTCAAACCAATTGAACGGAGTCAAACAAGACCGTTTCTTGGTGGTTTGAGTGATCTTGGGGTTCGATACAATCTGAAAAATAGCGAGACCTAGAGAATATAATTACTACTTGACACAAAGGAATGGCAACAGCCACCATGATCCCAACTATCGAACTTTTTCACTCCAATGCCACAAAACCGTAACAAGTTACTCGGATTAAAAACCATAAGAATCTGAATGAAAAGAAATTAAAGGGTTTCGTTAGTCCCACATGGATTTGCAAAGTGAGGGTGTTGAAAGAGAGGTTAGAATAAAAGGGTGGAGGTGGGGAAGGGAGAAAAGCATCTTTGCGCTTGGGGCAATGACGTAGCTGATGAGGTAATAACCGAGGCGCGTCAATTGCTGGTTGAAAACTATTTCCAAACCCCCTCTTGGGCCTTGGGTACTCCCCTTGGCCCTTAGAGAATTTCTGGAAGGGTTTCCTAATGGGAATAACCCTACATTTTCCTACTTTACAAACTTAATTACATGACTGTTTTCTTCACATTGTCGGTTTTTGATCTAGTAATTCATTAGTGGCCACATAAAAACAGGTTGGATGTCCAGGTTGAATCAGAGTCTTAACAACTCTAATCTGAAACCACCCAAAACATTTATTTAACTTGATTTAGTCGCTACTCTCTTGTATTGACGTAGAGATGAAAAAAAATGATGTAGGCTGGATGTTTTGAAAAATGCTTCCCACAGAATAAAAGAAAAAACAAACAAGCTTCTATTAGACTGGATGTTTGGTTAGGGGCCGTACGAATGCAGGCCCCCACTAACATATACCATAGGCCTCATTGGTCACCCATTGATCGCGTCCAGGTATGTAAGTAAAAAGTTGTAAAACACTTTGGTTTTCACATAAAAACCTTTAAAGAATGATCAAGTGTTTTAGATAAGGAATTAGATGACGAAATCGAAAACATTAGTAACGGAACGTAGGAAAGAAAAATCAAACAAGTATCAAATGAGATGTTGTTCTAGATCGGGTTTGGATTATTTGGGAAGGAGCCAACAGAACAGACTTCCGTTATTAAGGTGCGATGGAGGTCAACTGAGATTGCATTTTTACAGCAATCATTGTATAACTTGAAAAATATACTAAAAGGTAAATGAGACTTGGTTTTCATGTTTTTCTAAATTGGGTTTTCATTGTTAGAGGCATTCCAAAAACGGAAACCTCTCCAAAAATAAGCGTATGCCACTTATTGGAACAAACACACGGTATTCATTAGTAAAAGGCGAAAGAATAGTTCGCTTTGTGCTCATTACATGGCTGAGTGGGTTTTCAAACACGTTTTCCACATGCTTCTTTATGGAACTGCTTCAACTCTAAAATGCATTCAGTATACGATGTGGGAATGAAGCTGAAATATAAATATATATATATATATATATATATATTTATGTTGAAGATAAATGAAGTTATTAACTGGTATTTACTTATTTTTTCCACCAACACCAAAACCTTTGCAGAAAATAGAAACTAAAACCAAATAATAATGAAATTGTTTTGACTCTGTTTTCCAACTTCGAGATTCTACAGTTGTATATGATTCTTTCTCTGCAATCCATTTCAATCTCAATCTAATTGGATAGCTTCTAAGAAGTAGTATTAGGAGTCGATGTTTGGATAGGGGCCGCGCGAACGCAGGCCCCCACTAACACAAATTATGACGTAGGCTCGACCACTTGGGCCGACCTTAGGGTGGCACCCCTCCTAAGTGCAATAGAGGTCACCAACCTAGACCATAGGCCTCATTGATCACCCATTGATCCCGTCCAGGTAAGTAAGTAAAAAATCGTAGAACACTCTTCTTATATGGCTTTTGCTGGGCCTGCACCTTTCATTCCAACACCCATGTGGGATCTTAATCAGTAAGTCATACTTTATTTAGTTTGTCCAATTCGTGTTACAACAAATAAAAACTAGAAATCAGTACATTGTTCATAAGAATTTGAATCCATTTTCACACCACATCTCTAATAGAAACGAGTTTTGGATCGATTTAACAAAATAAATACGTAAATATTGCTTACAATTTAAATAGACTACTAAATGTTGATTCAATTTTGGGGTGAATAATGGGTGTATAAGGTATACAAAAGCACTAGAATGCAGTTGTTGGAGGGCAGTACAACTGAAAAAAAAAAAGTGTGGCAAATTTACTTACCGAACATACAAACGCACTCGAACAATAAACGAATAGCGACTAATACCAACAAAATCCATAACGAATGGCAACAGCCACTATGATCCCAACTATCGAACTTTTTGACTCCAATGCCACAAACCGTAACAAGTTACGTGGATTAAAAAACCATAAGAATCTGCATAAAAAGAAATTAGTCCCACATGGATGGGCAATGTGAGGCTGTTGAAAGAGAGGTTAGAATAAAATGAAGGAGGTGGGGGACTCAGAAAAAACATCTTTGCGCTTGGGGCAATGACGCAGCTAATGAGGTAATAACCGAGGCGTGTCAATTGCTGGTTGAAAACTATTTCCAAACCCCCTCCTCGGCCTTGGGTATTCCCCTTGGCTGTCGAGAATTTCTGGAAGGGTTCTCTTGCGGGAATAACCCTATAATTTTCTTAGTTTTACAAACTTTTGCTTATTCTTTTTTTTTTCTTTCACATCATTGTTTTGAAACGTATGTTACAATTGTGGTTTGGTTGTATTTGTTTATGTTCTTTAACAAATATCAGTCGGCATAATTTTGCATTGCAAGTGTAATTTGAACTAAAGGGTCGTTTACCTAAATGCTTACACGGTAACTCTACAACAAAATCGGGTTTATAGAACACTCTCAATTTCTAAGCGTCCTAACAAACCTCTTTATAAGACTTGGTTTATAGGACCAAAAAAATAAAGTGTCATATCTAAAGGCGTTGTAATAAGTTTATATGACGTTTTTAAGACATTTTTAATATAAAGCGTCCCATTAGCGACTTTATAGAATACTATTTGAAAAACTGCCCTATAAAAACAAACGACCTATAAAAAATTGAGTTTATACGACACTTTCTCAAAAGTATCCTATAAAGTTGCTAATGTGACACTTTGTATTAAAAATGTTCTAAAACACTTGTTAAGACGTCTAAAAGCGTCATATAAACTTATTACAACATCATTAGATAGGACACTTTAAATTTTGGTCATATAAATTAAGTCCTATAAAGCGGTCTATTGGGACACTTAGAAATTGGAGGTGTCCTATAAACCCAATTTTGTTGTAGTATATGCTTTCACCACTACCCAATTCAGATGTCCAATGATCTCTGTTGACAACCCATTGCCCCTGACTTTTTTTGATCCAGCATGGTGGATTGCTGGTCTGCGAATATCAAAGGATGGCTTTCAAATTTAGAAACAAAAGAAGAGAGTTTATGCAAAAGAGCATCCAAGAAGTAGTATTAGAACTGGATATTCGGTTAGGGGCTGCGCGAACGCAGGCCCCCACTAACACAAATTATGACGTAGGCTCGACCACTTGGGCCGACCTTAGACCGGCACCCCTCCTAAGTGCAATGGAGGTCACCAACCTAGACCATAGGCCTCATTGATCACCCATTGATCCCGTCCAGGTAAGTAAGTAAAAAGTTGTAAAACACTCTTCTTATATGGCTTTTGTTGAGGCTGCACCTTTCATTCCAACACCCATGTGGGATCTTAATTACTAGTTTTAATTAAGACTCAATATTTGGGTAGGGGCCGCACAAGGCACAGTTTTCCACTGTCACAAATTATGACGTAGGCTCAACCACTTACTAAATTTAGCGGGGCTACCCTTCAAGGAAAAACGTCTCCAAAAATAGGCGTAGATCACTTGTTGCGACAAGCACATGTATTCTTTAGTAAAAGGCAAAAAAAAATAGGTTGCTTTGTCCTAAAGATTCCTGCAACACAATCAAAATCAATAAGGGAACCGCCTCATTTTATGGATCGAAGACGATCCTCGACTGATTGCAAGAGCCTGCATGTGGTCTTCATCCTTGTGAACGTCACGATGGATCGTCCTATCTAAAGGTGTTGTAATAAGTTTATATGACGCTTTTGGGCGTCTTAACAAGTTTTTTAGAACATTTTTATTACAAAGTGTCGCATTAACAACTTTATATGACACTTTTGAGAAAGTGTCCTATAAACTCATTTTTTTATAAGATATTTGTTTTTATAAGACAATTTTTTCAAATAACGTCCTATAAAGTTGCTAATAGGACGCTTTATATTAAAAGTGTTCTAAAAAAATTATTACGACGCCAAAAAATGTCATATAAACATATTACAACGCCTTTAGATAGGACAGTTTATTTTTTTGGTCCTATAAATTAAGTTCTATAAAGAGGTCTATTAGAACGCTTAAAAATTGAGAGTGTCCAATTTGGATCATTTATGATTTATCTATCCTACTTACCAATGTGGTATGACTTAATGTTGAAAAGTAACCGACAACGTGGCTTATGGTGATATATATAGTTGCATGATCTACGCATGTTAACAATGGTTGCAGTTTTTTAATGGATTCGGTCTTTAAATAAATCAACAACTTATATAGAGTCTGTTTAGAAACAACTTAATGAGATCAATGAACCCTTCAGCTAATTCGTTCAGCCATATTATGTTGTTTGAAAATGTCTTAATCATCTAGAAGGGAGCTTACCGAATAAGATTTTAGAAGACACCCTTATGCATACAGACACCACATTTCTATCCCTACCCTTTTGAAATACACGAGAGAGAATAACCTCCCTGCTCCTCCCATCTTTCTCGATCGGAACCTAAACAAAAGAAAAAAACAAATAGAAGAGTAAAATGGTTACCTTTATCATTAAGACGTTTTTTCAGTAAAGCCAACAAACAACAATTCTATTTAATACATATAGACAACCTCTTAGATCCTTATGATTGCATTAAGCACTCAACTCAGATAAAAAAAACAACCAAGGATAAAACCCATTGATTTTTTTAAAAGGGTTAAATGCATGAAATAACAACCTACTTTCATAAAAAAATTATTATAACATTCTACTTTTGTTTTTCTTTATTACAGCAATGTACTTTCAAATTATTTTGTATTAAGGCATTGTACTTTCAAATTATTTTTTATTAAGGCATTGTACTTTAAAAAATCTACCCATAATAGCAATGGGTAACCTGTTACCTTTTAAACCGGTTAACTCTTTGACTTTTTTGCTTGTGTGGCTTTAATTAGGTGATGCGGATGCCACATCATTTTGATGACTTAACTAAAATAAAAATAAAAATATATTTCAAATTATTATTAATGATTTTCATTTTTCATTGCTATGATCTAWAAAAACATTTAATTTTTTTTACTTTTTCTTATTAAGTTGCATTCAAATTAAATATTCTTAGAGTAAAATATTTATTAAATAAATATGAAACATTATTTTCGAGAAAGTCACATCACTATAGTACATGTGGACAGCCTACATGGACAATGAGCTGGCATGAAAACTAGCATAATGGGTAAATGAAAATTAAAAGGTTACCCATTGATATAATGGGTAAATTTTTCAAAGTACAATGTTCTAATAAAAAATAGTTTGAAAGTACATTGCTGTAATAAGAAAAACTAAAAGTACAATGCTATAATAAAGAAATTTATGAAAGTAGATTGTTATTTTGTGCATTTTGCCCTTTTTAAAAATGGACAAGAACCGTCAAAATATTTAACCGTATGAATGAAACATGTAATTTACTCAAAATTATATTAGTATGTAAATTAAAAAAGAACCAGAAGGGTACCCGTGCAATACATCGATGCACATTTTGATTCTAATCTTTCGTTTTATATTTTGGGTCTATCGATGTTATAATGCGATTTTATGTGGTTTTGAGAAAAAAGAAATGTTTTTATTTTTGAATGAAATATAAATTTGAAGATATTATAAAATGTTGAAAAAAAATATTATTATCAAATTAACTATCTAAAAGTTCTCATTTTTATGTAATTTCTTTCATTTTATTTTTTTATTATAATTTAATTGAAGTTTAAAAACGAATTAATTTATTTTTGATTTAGTAAAATATTTTTTTTAAGATAATAATTAAGTATTCTGTTAGAACTTAATAATTATCTTAATTATATTTTAAATATTTTATAACTAAAATGAGATGTTTATGCACGAATTAAAAATTTACGTATAATTTACTTGTAATCTTGAATGTTAAATAACATACATCAATAAACAGTACTTCGTGCATCAAAAATAGTTTTTAAGAGTTTTTGTCAAATGTTTTATAATATAGTATAGGGATGGCAAAAAAACCGAAATCGATGGTGAAAACTGAAAATCGAAACCTTCGGGCCGGGTTTGGAGATATCTTATTGGGGACGGGGCGGAGATCGGGGACAAATTCAGGGATTTTAACGAGGATGGGAACGGTGATCACCGGCCCGGCCCGATATGTGTATATATATATATATGTATAAATATATATATTTTTTAATTTACATACATACATATATATATATATAATATCATTAAAAGAAAATAGTAACATTAAAATTTAAAATACTTTTATTCACTCTACCTCAACAACCCAAATAAAACTCACGAAAAAAGTCTAGTTTATTTGTCTAAAATTGTGATTTTAGTTGTATGATATTTGAATTTCAGTTTAATTTTATATTGTAATCTAATACATTGTTTGTAATTGGTTCGATTATGTTTGAGACATTTAAACTTATATTTTTTTTTAAATTGTAATTTACTTTTAATTGTGAAAACTAACATATTATAATTTTTCTCAAATCGGTTTCAGGTTTCGGGTTCGGTTATAACCAACAGTGAAAAAGATGATTTTTACCCTTAACGGGTTCCCCAACGGGGATCGGGAAAACCGCAGGGACCCAATGGGGATCCCCGATAAGATCTCCTATGGGGATCAAGACGGTTACAAGGACAGTTTAGCTATCAGTCTCGAGAAGGGATACCAATACCCGATCCGTTGTCATTCCTAATATAGTCGTCATTATAGATAAATAAAATACAGCCAACGCCATAGAAAACACGTACCACGTGTACCAATAAAATCACCTAAAGTGTACTCCCTGTTGGCAGTTTGTCCACGTCATCTTCTCCCTATCCACCACCGATTTACCCTCTCTCTAGAATCATCGTCCTTTTACCTCCATCCTTCCATTCTAACCCACCAAATAAGAAACGAAAAGGAAATCAAATCGTAAAATCTTTCGTCATCATCTTCGCCGCTGTCTCTCAATTGGAAATTTTGTTCATCAATGGCTGTTGGGGTTTCGATTTTAGCAGGTTACGTTTGTTTTTTTGCTCTGTTTGTTCAATTTTCGGGTTCGAAGGCTTTGATCTCTACCCCTGACGTTAAGCAACACCATCCCAAAGCCATCGCGGTAAGTAATTTTCGCAAATTCATCGGATTCTTAAATTGGAATGGTCTTCGGATCCAATGTTCATCTAGATGATTAATCCAAGTATGTTCATATTTCAATGATCAGAAATCGATTGTGTTGCATGCAAATGAAAATTTTATGTTATTTGTTATTATTTCCTAAAGCCATAAACAGATCGATTTCAATTTGAATCCAATTCATCTTTGTTCATGGGGAGAGAGGACACCAGGTTGGAAACCGTAACGGAAGCTTATCAAAAATGAGAAATAGCTAATGGAGAGGATTACAATTCATCGTCTATTCATATTCATAGAACATAAGGTTTTGTTTTGGGTCTCTATTTACTAAGAATATGATCAAGACATGTGTTTGTTTTTGGGCTATTAATTATCTGGTTAAATGGTGGCATTTTTTCATATCTCAATATCGAATGATTTGTTGGGGATTCTAATGCTTATTACTCCATTGTTATCCGTGTTTTAGGATTTGAAGGAAGCTATTGTCAAAGGATTAGGGCTTCAATCAGATGAAATTAAGATATCTGGTTTTGATTCCAGAGATGCCTTAGTTGGTCGATCGGTAGCTTATGAGTTTGATGTGGAAATCGATGATAAAGTTCTTCCGTTTAAACTTTTGGAGGATGTGCATAGATGGGAATATGTGGATTTGCCTATTTTTCGAGTGGAGGATCAGGCCGGAAACGATGGTGATGAGAATGGTTTGGCAGAGAAGAAGGGATCAGGAGAAAGGTTGCCTGTTTTGGCCCCATTTCAGCTCGCTGGTCCGATGGAGCTTTGGATCCAGGATGCAAAAGACATGAGGCTTTCTTTGCCTGTAAGTTCATGTTTCCGTTGCCTCCATTTTCTTATCGTAGTTTATTATCTTTTATGGTGTTTATTCTTTATTTTGGCAATGCCAACATATGCTTACCAAGAAGAAAACATGTTGGTTTACTTTCAAGATAAAACAAATACTTTCAACTTACAAGATTGATAGGATTCATTAGCATTTCGGGTCAATTTTTATGACCACATTAACTTTCTGTTGGTGTTACATATTCAACGAAGTTGTTATCAATTTGTATATGGAAAGTAATAGGTTTAACCTCAATAAAGTTACGAGGTTTTCTTTGCGTGCTAGGAATGGTATTTTGATGAAGTGGTGATTGATTGAATTTCTTTTCATGCTTTTACTATTAGATTACTAGAAATGCAAGAACTAATTGAATATTATGGATAGTTTTGTCAAATTGCTTTGACAGCACAACTTGGGAGGGTTTAATAGTATGGGGTCTTATTCGTCCAGCAATATCAGAGTGTCTGTTTGCGCCGTTGCCAAATATGGCTGTATCAGATAAGCCAAAATACATGTATTGTCTCAGTTAAGCCATGGCTTTTCCACTTGTACCCTTCCTTTCGGCCACTTGCAGACTGCCTCAATCGACACATAACTTCGTCAAAATGGGTAATCCAGTTCTTGTTGACCCAAACCCTAGATTTATTCCCCCTTTCTATGTGTTCTTGTGGTTGAATTCTAGGCAAAGAATTTGCATGTTACATTATCTGGTTGATTCTATCTGTAAGTTTAATGTTTGTTTCCTTCTATAACTTTTCCTAAGATTATATTATTTTGGGTTTTTAAGAGATGGATTATCTCTTGTAACTTACCTGATCCTTCCACTTCAAATATGAACTTCAGTTGTTTGGAGGTGCGATAATGATGGATTGCGAGTATTTTCATGTGTACTAGGGCATTAGGCAATAGAACGATGATTATCATGATCGAGAACATGAAGGGGGTTGTTTATTATTCATCTCTAATGGTTCTGTATTTAGTAAATTGATTTATTTGGGGGTTTTTTTTTTCTGAAAGGGTGTCACCGGCAACGTCTGGACTAATCCCATCAAATTGTGACCGCAAGAAATTAGCTTTGATAAACTTAGTGATCACAATTGTTGTGCGTACCTAGAATCGAACCCTATGCAGAAGGGATATTCCACCACATCCCCCAAGACCTCAGCCGTTACGCGACAACCCTTGTGGTTGATTTATTTGGTTTCCATTAAGAAAAACTGGATATGGGCTTGTTTGTGGCAAACACAATTTCCTTTTTTCTTCCATCATTTTTTTTGGAAAAGAGCTACACTTTTGATTGTAATCAGTTGACTACTCTCTAGGTAAAGATTTTATATGATTTTTATTTAAAGTGTTTGTTATCTATTACAAGTACCAACTGCAAAGTTCAATGAAGTTGGTCTTTTTGATTGAAAAGTTTGTCATCCAAAGGGGTAACCACTTGGGTTGTGGGGCACTGGATAACCTCAAGGAGTCAAGGGATGTAGTGGAAATTGGAAAATCTCATTTATCCCGTTCAAATCCAGGTGTTGTCAATGTCAAAGCCCTTGTGGCCATGGAGGTTAACTTGGGATGACTCTACTCGTGGTCACCTAGGGATTAGTCGGTGAATGTAAGCTGGCCTAGAAACTCATGGTTACCCAAAAAAAACACAATTAGCAATATCTTAATTCATACAGACGGCTTATCATAGGAAAAAAATCAGATAACAGCTTATACTTGTTAGCTATCGAGGCATATATTGGTGGTAGATAGAGATTTAACCATGAGCACGTGATCATCTTGTTCATATTTGTCCATTCCGTATGTTCTTACTACGCTGTTATTTCTTGATTAATTTTCACTTGTATATAGAGTTGTGTGGCCACTAAATCCTGTTTGAAATAATGTACAGCATGATGTTGATGCTGGTGAGCTGAGGAAAGTAATCCTAGCAGATGGTGCAGTTGTGACAGTTAAGGGTGCCCGATCAGTAAGCTTACGCCACCCAATCGAGCTCCCACTTCCTTTAAACAACACCCAAAACGGGTTTGCTTCTGGTCTCCTGACCCTAGCCGAGCGCCTCCGACACGCTTCTCGTACCCAAGCCCAACTTCTCTCCCTTCGTATCGTTGGCCCAACATCTCTCACATCCCCCACTCCGTCATCACCCTCTTCCAACAACAAACTCAAACTCAAACGCCTTGCTCCTGGCTTAGTCGAGCTGTCCTCGGTTTCAAAAACAAATTTAAGAAGCGTACTTTCCACCATTGATCTTCAAGGAGAAACCCCGACCCTTCTCACTCCAGACCATTTCACAACATTATGGCCGCTCACATCCATCAACGGCTCGCACTCAAACTTGGTTGGTTTAGAGCGGCTGCTGTCTTCGGTTTTGGGTTCCAAAGCCAGCAAAGAGGGTTCGTTTAAGCTGTTGAAAGCAGATATATCGGCTCACACGTTTGTGAAGATAGGGTTCAGGGTGGAGAGGCTGACCGGAAACATGGCGCAGGGGGAGGGTCATGGTCGGCTGCCGGAATGGAGAACAAAGCCGGAAACGATGAAGATGCATTTTGAAGTGCTGGCTAAGGTTGATGGAGATAAGTTTGTGGCTGAGAGAGTTGTGCAGGTGAATCCTCCTGTCATGGTGGAGCATACCATAGCACCAAATGTTGTTACTGGGAACACAACCATGTCAAAGGTGCCTATTCTTCACACTCCTTTTACTCCATTTGCATTATAAAACTGTTACTCAAAAGTATGAACACAACTGCATCCTTTTATTTCATTTATCATATTCAGCCTGTTAAACCCCCTTTTTAAGTAGGAACTAATTAATATATGTTACTATAACATGATCTGTATAAAATCATAAATCTCATCTTGTGAATTTGTTGATAGAACTTGAAACACCATCTCCTTACCATCCTGATTCCTACATATTTTTGTGTTAGAATATACTAGATTTTCTTGTTATTAGCTAACAAAACCATCATCTTTTGAAAAAAATTACCAACTATATGAGACGGTACAATTTCTATCTATATTTTGAATAATAAAACTATAATTGTTTTTTTTTTTTCCTCATATTTGTTCTTTATTATCTAATATTGAGTGTATAAATCTTATGTACTCTTTTTTCGCTAAAAGAAAAATAAGATCTCAAACTATAATCAAAATAAGTTTTTTATTTATAAGATTGATGATTTTAAAAAAGTTTGTTTCAACCCTAACGTTATATTCGTAAGTCTTCTTTTACGAAGAAAAAAAGTAATGGAAGAAGAAAAATATTTCGTTCTACGAGGTTTCTTTCAGGGGAAGGAAAAGAAAAAAGAAATTATATCAAAACTTTTTTTTTTTCATTATTTTTTCTTCCTCCTCCTTCTCTATCAAAAACATAAATAAAAAAAACTTTATTTTTTTTCATTCTTTTAATTTTCTTTTCATTTATCATTCTTTCTTTTCTTTTCAAATTCGGAGACATAGTATAAAAGTTCAAAATGATGTTAAAAAAATTAACATGAAGTGACATGGAAAACCGACCTATTTACATTAACTTACATAGTGTTGTTCGGAAATCAAAAGAATTAATATTGTGATCTCAAATGATGTCATTTTATGTACCAAAAATATATCATAAGATGTTTTTGATGAATGAAAAAAATCGATGATGCTACATAAAAATGTTCTAGTAGATAATATTAATTTAGAATTGATTATCGATTGATTTTGCGTCTAAGAATACTCGAAAAAACAATTTTATATGAATTCAATGTTATTTCTGATGATAAAAAACAATGTATTGAAAAAATATTGGCCGGAGCCTAAAAACTGTTGGGAACGGGCTTGATGGAAATGACTGTTTTACCCTTGAGAATGAATTATAGCTTGTTTCAATTCATCGAAATGGAACAAAAGATAGACAAATACCAGAGAAGAAATAGGCAAACATCAATTTTGGTCCAAAAGATAAACTTGAACACCAATGAAAGTGAAATCGGAAAAAGAGAAGAGAGGAGAAATCGAAACACACAACAATAAATGTCCCAATCAAAAATCAAATGTATCGTATATCCTCAACAAACACAGAAGAAATAAGCAAACATCAAACTTGGAGAAAAAGAAACCTTGGCCCTCGATTGGTATCTGCAAGCTTCAAACTTGGAATCAAGGAGATCAAACGGAGGAGCAAACCAGGGAGATGGTCGCTGGTCAAGATGGTCTGGTCTGATCTTGTCTAGCCACTGGTCACGATGGGCAACGGTCTCAAGATACACAGTGGCTATGGTTTTGAACAAGTCTGGAAGAGGAGGGGGTTTATTAAAAATAAGAGGTAGGGGTGGGGTGAAGTTTGTTTGTCAAGAGATGCTAAAGTTTGAAGTTTTATTTCAATTATGATTAATAAGATGTGATGTTGAATTCTGAAATTTGAATCAATAAGACTGTTTGTTTTTGTAAACTGATAAATGTCTGAATTTGTTTAAATTGTCTATTTTATCCATTAGAAAGTTATAGTGTTAAATTTATAGATAAATTTATACCAGTTTACATATTTATTCATCATCATTATGAAATTTACATCTAAATTATATAATCAACATTCATTTAAACGAAAATATGTCATTAACGGTATTTAACACATTTAAATCCTGTTAAAATACATCAGTTGAGACAAGTGAGGATCGATTTGGTGAGGATCGATTGAGAGAAAGGATCGATTAAGTTTAGTAGATCGAAAAACGTTGTTGCTAAGAGTTTGGAGAACAATAAAAAGCAAATAAGATGTTGGTTTACCTCTTATCAAATAAGACATGAACAAGACACAAAGTGCCTTCAAAAAATTAGATAAAACAAACAGTTTTAATGGTCTTCTCTCTCTTAACTAATCAGACATAAAATGCTAATAAGAGCTTTTTTAGAAAAAACAAACAAAGCCCTAGCATTTTGATTGAAATTAAGCTAAAATTGACGTCAAGCCAACAAATTTGATGAAATTTGTTATATAAAACTAGAACTGTATTCGCGCGATACAGCGAGATACATCTTGATTTTAATGTTCTATTTTATTCTTTGTCTCTGTCGATGTTATAATACTATTTTATGTGTTTTTAAGAAAACAATAATG